CTTTTCATCCAATCATCAGATGGATCAAGCTGCAGCTGTTTTTGAATACACAGAAATGCAAAAAATGAGTATTCAAAAGGCTTAGAGTACTAGATTTTTAAAAATGCGCATCTGCATGTCAAAAATAACTCTTACATGTGGCAGTGTGGTGAAGAATACGCGTTTTGGTATCCCAACAGCACGTTCTGTGTTCTTCAAAGTTAGCTGCAAAGACCAAATATTCAAGAAGTCTATATCCAACTCGCCATTGCTCAAAGTTGAGAAGTGACGCCTTGTTAGGTAGTAGTCACCATAGTTGAACAGCAACTCACTACAGCACCAAAATAACAATAATAATAATAACACCAATAGTTATAATAATATGAACTATCTAAGTAATTTAAAGGTTATTATAAATATATGTGTTCAAACATACTCTTCTGGGTGTTCGGTAGACACACTCAAGAATGCATAGTTTGAAATGATTTTTTCCCGTGGAGTTGCAGTGCGTATAAAACCTGCATTCTGTGTCCAGTATGGTGACCTCGAACAAAGAGGTTTGTTCCTGAATCGTCGCTGGGGTCTCATCCTAACAGTCACGTCCTCAACATCAGACTCACTTTCTTGCATGGCACTGTTGTTTATATATCCACAGTATTAGAACTTTATATCCATAATATTAAACATATATGTACATAATCATAGAACTATATATTCACAGATTTAAAATGTTCATAATTTTATATCTATATATCCACAATTTTAAAGCTATATGTCCACAGTTGTAAAAATGTTCATAAGTTTATATTCATAATTTTAGCACTATAAATTCATAACGTTAAAGCCAAATGCAAATAACAAACTGTAAATTTACCAATCAAAGTCATCAACATCAGCATCAGTAGCAGCGGCATGACGAACATATCTCTGAAATGGGACCCTAACAAGTGGAGGAGTTACTTGTGCTCCCAAAGTCGTTGACAGTCCTGCATCCTCTCCAATTTGTTGAACCAAAGCATCCAATGGTAGGTCCTCTTCAACTACTTGCTCTGTGTGTTGCTCACATGGCTGCGGTTGCGATTCATTGCAGTGTATTCCCAAATCAAATGATGGAGCTTCAAATTCCATGGTTCTTGTTGTCTTCTGAAATGCTTCCACCAATGAATCCACTGCAGCGGTGAAGGTTTCACTCCCAAAGAATATGTCATCCAACTGAGATTCAGTTGGAATGGAAGTTGATTCAATTGCGCTTGCAGCACCTAGCATGTTTGATATCCCTGAGAACGCTTTCTTCATGACTTCAATAGGTGCGCCCTGCTTTCCAATTTCAGACATAGCTTCACCAAACTCTAGGACATCTGATGCTAGCTTTTGGAGCACACGGGTCACCCGATCAACACTTGAGAGTGGCTCACTTGTAGTTGGTGTCGGTGTTGCAGTAGTAGGAGTAGAAGAAGTAGTAGCAGCAGCAGTAAATGCAGGTTGTGGTAGTGAGGTTGTAGCAGCAGCAGTGCTTGCAGGTTGTTGCAGTGAGGTGGTAGCATCAGTCCTTGGCTTCTTAACTCTAGGGATAACCCTTCCTTTTCCAAACCCACCAGCCCTTTTTTCAGCCTTGACTCTCTTTCTTACAAGCGTGGTTGTCCAAGCAAGTATGCTAGGGTATGTCCTGTTGATCTTCATTCCTTTGAATTCTACTCGATCAAAGTAGAACAGCTACAAATTACAGAAGATTATGTTAAAGATGAATTTAGAACAATTTATCCATGTATTCTTAATTGCATGGTCACAGTGTAATGCATAACTATATGTCCATAATCACATAACTATATATCCATAACTTTAAAACTATATATCCACAAAATTCAGAAATAAAAAATGATATTAATAAAATGAGTATATTCCAAGTTTCATGCATATATGTCCATAAACCCATAAATATACATCCAAAAACACATTAATATATATCCAGAATTATTAGCAGTATGTCCACAGAGTAATACATACATATATTCACAGAGTACTACACATCCATAATCACATAACTATATATCCACAATTTTAAAATTATATATCCACAAATTAAACTGCATAAAGGACCTCATTAAACTGAGTGTATTCCAAGTGTCATGCATATATATCCATAAACCCATAACTATACATCCAAAAACACATTAATATATATCCAGAATTATTAACAGTATGTCCACAGAGTAATACATTCATATATTCACAGAGTACTATATATCCATAATCACATAACTATATATCCACAATTTTAAAACTATATATCCACAAATTAAACTACATAAAGGATCTTATTAAACTGAGTATATTCCAAGTTTCATGCATATATACCCATAATAAATTGTTAGTTATACACCTACAACTACATAAAATTCATGCAACTAGATTAAAGACAATAAGAACTGACCAATATCAATGTCATTGGCCCCCAAAAGCTTCTCTTTCTATCTTCATTGTAACTATCTATCGAGTCAATGAGAGATTGGTATGTGTAGGCGCACCAATTGTACTCTTTAATCATATCAACATCAATCAATGAGTTTAAGATCCTGTACTTGGAGTAGCGTGTTGTGTTTCCTCGAAGCATGGAGGAAACGGCAAAGACTATGAAATCCCTCTTGAACTCATCACCATGATCAGCTCTCCTAACAATCTCATCTGGCATCTGTGTAGTTATTGGCGAGCCTGCTGTAATACCCCACCTCCTTCTCCATGAAGTCAGCAGCAGTTTGTATTCACGGGTTGAGGTGTCTTCCATCTTTGTCCCCTCATTGACCTTCAGAGGCCCTCGCGGGATTCCCAACGTGTATTCGACATCTTCCTCTTCAATGTGGAGACTATCATCCTCTAATACAAAATCACACCTGCAAACATTAAAGTTGTCCAGCAGGTATTGCACCAACTTTGATTCATTGGTGCAGAGTTGGAGATGAAGAAGTCCACCAAATCCAGTTTCTACGACAGCTTGTTTCTGTCGTGGTGAGAGCCTCTGGACAAGATCAAACATCAGCTTTGGCCCCATCCTCGTATTGAAGTAATCTCTCCTGTGTTCTCTAGTTCGTCGGCGCCGTCTCGTTGAAGTCTCTGCAACAGTTGTTTCCTTAGCAGGGCGTGAGCGCTGAGCTGCTTGTGAATTTAGGGCTGCTGCTGGTTGTTCACTAGTTGGATTAGAGCTCTGAGCTGCTTGTGAATCTAGAATTGCTGCTGTCCGGTACTCTGTTCTTCTTCTTTTTGTTTCTCTAAGAGTCTCAGCCAGTGTAGGTTCACGAGCCATTTCTGTAAATAAGAATTATTAAACTATACATCCATAATATCACAACTATTTGTCCACAAACATTTCAGAAACACACTAATTGAAGACAGGAATGATATTTTCATACATGCATAAGTATTAAACTATAAAACCACAATTATAAAGCTATATATCCACAATATCACAACTATTTGTCCACAAACATTTCAGAAAACACACTAATTGAAGATAGGAATGATATTTTCATACATGCATAAGTATTAAACTATAAAACCACAATTATAAAGTTATATATCCACAATATCACAATTATTTGTCCACAAACATTTCAGAAACACACTAATTGAAGACAGGAATGATATTTTCGAACATGCATAAGTATTAAACTATAAAACCAGAAGTATAAAGCTATATATCCACAATATCACAACTATTTGTCCACAAACATTTCAGAAACACAATAATTGAAGAGAGGAATGATATTTTCAGACATGCATAAGTATTAAACTATAAAACCACAAGTATAAAGCTATATATCCACAATATCACAACTATTTGTCCACAAACATTTCAGAAACACAATAATTGAAGAGAGGAATGATATTTTCAGACATGCATTATACCTGATGGAGAATGCGATGATAACGGGCGACAATGCTAGAATGAAAATGGCGAAAATGGCGACAATGGTGAACAAAACACGCTCCGGCGACAATGAGATGAAGACGGCGAAAATCGCGACTCCGAGTAGACAGAGAGAGAGATGAAGACTGCTACAGTGCGAAGGAAGTGTGTAGCTTGTTGGAGACGAAACGTTGGAAATGGCGGAAAAAGGAGTGTAGTGACGTTTTATGGCAATAATAATAATAATATTTTTTTTTTTAAATATCGGGATGAGTGAAACGGTGCCACTAACGGCACCGTTACTTCCTTGGCACTATACGGTGCCGTTTTCAACCGTGTGTACCAAGAACGGTACACACAGTTGCACGGCATAACAATTGAACCAAATGCCATGCGGGTTTTTAATGTATGCACCATCACACTACATCCAAGTGCACAAAAGAAGTTTTTAATATATTTACAAAAATGCATTACACTTTCTTTTTCTCTTTTTCCTATTTTTCTAATCATTAAAGCTACTAGATTGAAAGTTAGCACTTAGCCATTTACCCACAATTCTCACGAGCCTATTACTAATTCTATTAGCTAATACTCCGTATTAAAATTTAATACAATTCTCACGAGCCTATTACTAATTCTATTAGCTAATACTCCGTATTAAAATTTATATATTATTATTAAGAAGTACTCCATATTAAATTAATCAGTTTTTAAGAAATTATAAACAGATAATATTTGTCCTGATTTAAAAATATTGTAAATAACTGCGAAAGAAAGAAAAAGCGCAAAATAGACAAACTATAATTGCAGACGCGAATAAAGAATCAGAGAAAAAAATTAAAGAAAGATAAAATTAGAACTTTAAATTTTGACTTCAAAGTATCAAATGTTTACATGTAGTCCAAGTAAGATAAATAGATAATAAGAAAAAATATATATAAATATTAGCATCTCAATAAGCTCAAATTTGTTATTAACTTGTTAAAAATATTAATTATTTTTTTCTTTTTTAAAATTTTAAATTTGAAACTTATTCAAGATCATGACTTAATTGTTTTCCAGTAAATAGTTCAATGACCTATTTTCCTCCAACATAAAACCGAAAGGTCAAAAGAACAGCCGTGAGCCACTCACGAGTCACGCCTCCTCAGTCCTCACTGCTCCGGCTTCAGTGCTTCACACCTCACCGAGTCACCGCCCCGCCCTCACGCAGGAGTCAAGACGCATTGTCGCAGAACGCTCACGCCACGCCGCGTCGCCGCCACTGGCCCACCGCGGGTATTTTGTGCTGCACCATTGATTGAGTTGATTCACACAAGGTTGGTCAAACTTTACGCTTCTTTCTCATCCTGAGTGTTTTTATGGATCAATTCTTCGTTTCTAAGAAATGATTTTCACATGGAAAAACGAAATAGAGAAAAAAAAAATGAATAGTTTTTGGAGCTAGTCTCTGGTCTATGCCCTGCCTTTTTCTAAGGACTTACTCTTGTATCTAATGAATTTATAAAAGCTTTTAGGGGATTATTTTGTGTGCAAATGGCATGGTTAGTGGTGCAAGTTAGGTTCATAAGGCTGATTGAGTGTCTCGTGATTTATTTGATGAACAATGAATTCTAAGAATGGTGTTTCATAAGCTGATAGGAAGTTATGAATTTTTTGATTTTGTTTTAGATTCTGCACTAACAATTTTTCATTCATTCTTTGTTTGCTAATGAGAGTGGAGTGATTAGTGACAACTTGTATTACCTTTTCTCTTCTATATTATCCTGGCATATTAATTGCTTGACGTATATGCTGATTTATGGGCGCCATATTTGAATACACCATATTGTTGTTCCACTCTGCTTATCTTATCTAATACATTTTTTTAGCCCACAAGGTCAGCAATCATGGTGGGGTTCAAGAATAGATACATGGTGATGGAAGTGTTTTTGGATCCAAATAAAGATCACATGGGAAATGACCCCATTATAATCACCCAATTCAATTTGTCAAAATCTATCAGAGATAGCATTCTAGCAAACTTTGGAGAGTGTGGTCTAGCCTCATCACTAAATTCGTTTCAAGGTATGGGATTGGGATTGGTGTCCTTGATTTTCACTTATGTTGTGACCATAGAATTTTAGAGCATTGCTCCTGTTTATTGGTGTGTTACTTTAAATTAAGGGTATAATTAAGATACTCTTTGACTTAAGGGTAGCTATTTTATTTCATTTTTTTTTCAATGTTTGTTTTCTTTGGTGCAGTGAAGTATGTTAATCCTATTACAAAAGTGTGCATCATTAGAGCATCCAGGCAAGAGTACCAAAAAGTTTGGGCTGCAATTATCATGATTACAAGTATAGGGAACTGCCCTGTGGTTTTCAACTTACTTGACCTGAGTGGTAAGCTCAACAACTCTGGTGCACTGTTTTATTTAAGATGCATGCCAAATCTCATCTGGTTGGCACTATTTTTATGATAATTCTATTAGTTAGGAGTAGTTTTTTTTTTTTTTTTTTTTTTTTTTTTTTTTTAAAGGGCTTTGTTATATGTCATTTGCCTATTGGGCATTTAGTTTCCTACTCTTTTCTTGTGGTAGGAAGTATCAAGGCATGCAAAGATGCTGCTTTGAAGTGTGAAGAGTCAAAGTTTGAGCATTGCAAGTTACTGGCTGGAATCCAACTTAATGATGACCTCAAGCAGCACATGCAGAATTGCCTTGAGAAGATCAAAGTTTTGGAGCACTGAGTTTAAACAAGTGATGGTTTGAGGTATATCATTCTTTTAACCATGTTGGGAAGTTATATAAGAAATTGTTTTCATTCTCTTTGTGTTTGCAATGACCCATTCATTTTGGGTGTTGGTTTTCTTGGCTGATTTATTGCTAGAACAAAAATTTCCACTTCCATTCTTTAGTCAATGATGATTGCTGCATGCTGCTACATTTCCAAGAAAAGGGAAAAAAGAGCAGGAAGAGATGGGGGAAATGAGAAAAGTGAAAAGAGCATAGGATAGTTTTGTTTATATCAATATCGCTTTATACAGTAGTGCTCTATAACAACTTTTGATGAAAACTAGATTAATAATAACTACATGAAATATTATTAACCATTAAGAGCCTGTCTTAGTTTTAGATCCACCCATATTAAGCTTATGAAATCATTAAAGAGCAATCTATGCTCAAGCTCTCAAATATCTAATAGGATCACCCAACTCATAGGGCAATGAGTTCATTAAAAACTATAAACTCAACATCATAACCTGGAGGGTGTGGTTGAGTGGAAGGGACTCATCCATCCTTAACCAAAGGTTAAGGGTTCGATCCTTGGCTTTGGGAATGGAGCAGCCTTAAATCTCCAGGCTAGCTGTCCCACCCTTTTGGCGCCTACAATCTAGTGAGGGGATTAGTCGGTGCCTACAATCTAGTGAGGGGATTAGTCATTGTGTCCGACTGTGGAAACCCTGGGTATACCCAAAAAAAAATAAACTCAACATCATAAGTACACAGGTCATGGATAGACAATTCTAGTGTACAAATATGAGTCTATTCTTGGTTTTGTTTTGACTTTTGACTGTAAAGATGGGTATTCAACATGAATTCCTCACCTACTAGGCTGTTAACTCACTTCCCTGACTGAGTCAAGAATCAGACTTTATTGTTACTTACCAGTCCATTTACAATAGGAGAGAGTGGAATTCTTAATTGGATCTCTTTTTGTGCTAGATAGGAAAACATAATTTTTTCTAATGTGGCACACTCACAAATATCCTGTAGTTTTGGGAATATATCTTTGTTCAGATAAGTAGTACTCACTAGTGTTTTATTTCAATTTCTTCTGTGTTGGATGGATTGTTGGTATCTGATGTTTATAGAAGACAAGAAATCCCTACTATGAAGAGCATTGGGCAAACAATAAAGTGAACCCCCACTCTTCTTAAGTTTTGTGTGTATCATGATAAATTGTTGCAGATATATAGTTTAATTTTTCATATCTCCGTGTTTGAATTTATGATTAACGAGTTGTTTTAGGTTTCTAGTCAAAATAATGATGAAAACATTCTTAGATATACGTCTCATGGGGAGTAGTTTAGTGTGTTTGACTTGAAAGCAGTGCAAGAATCCTTGAGAAGGGGATACACATGTTGGAAAATATTCGCAACGTCAATGCGTGGGCTGGAAAACTTTTAAGAAACAAGGACAAAACGAGTATATGACTGAAAAGAAGACTATGCCGTGTTATAATAACACTGTCTTAAAAGCGTTATTTGTCTGGTGATGATGCAGTCAAAATCCTGGCACGCTTCCGACAGACTACACAGACTGACTACGCTTAGCTCACACAGTCACACCAACTATAGCGCAGGTGAACCTGACTTTGCTTAGACAATGACACAAAAGGATTAAAGAAAGGAGGATACGAAGATGATTATTGAGTGTATGTTTATGAAATTAGATGGCCTTTAAATAGTGATTTAGCACACTCCTACAACCATGTAATTCCACCATTTACTCATCTTCAACACATGTGAGCCACAATCTAGTAATGTAAGAAAAGCACAACCACAACTAAATATGTGGACTTGGAAATTTGTAGACAACAATATGCTCTTAATTATTTGGACCTCGGAATTTTCTAACAATCCCCCACAAATTCTGAGGAAGGGCAAGAAAACCTGTCTAAGCTGTTCTCAAGAAAGGATGATCCCCCATATATTCAAAGTAGAAGACTAGAAAGGATAATGTCTGAGCAATAGAAACGAGTTAATCTTAATGTCAGTGTTTTGAGAACTTGAACTAACATGTAGTGACACTGAGTAATTTTTTTCCCGAGAGTGATATGAATTTTGAACTCACCGGTTAGATAAATTTTGAACTCTAGTGCACACATCAACTCTAAAATGCAGGTTCTACGAAAGTCAAACTCTTTGACTTCTTATGAACAACCCTTAGTATTCAAATCTGCCCTATCTCAATATAGACTTCCACCTTGTCAAAGTTATCTCAACATAGACTCTTAACTCTGACAAGTCTTATCGCATTATAAATTTTTATGTCTATCAAGTCTATCTCAATATAGACTTTCGACTCTATCAAGTCTATCTTAATATAGACCTCCTTTAAAGGTTACAGAACACGGTTAAAGACATAAATATGGTGTAAGTCCTTTCATTATTTCGTTTGACCACAGAAGTGGTACCCGTCATGAATTCCTTACCTCACTAGTCTTAACCCCATGTTCCTTGATATTTCAAGGATGGTTCTCTCAGTTTGAACCTTTTGTGAGTTGATCTTTTAGACCTCACAAATTCCATTGTGATCAATCTATAGCCATCAACTGCCATTCAGACTCATGTCTGGCCTTTATGTGTCTTCTCTTTCTATCATAGATACTATTCTTTGTAACGCAAACGACAATTTGTGAATGTAGGACACCCCCCACAATTGTACGTTTCTCAATATATTTTTTAAGCCACTCGGCTTCTTGGGTTACGCCCATTATCTTTCATAAGAGGCGGTTAACCCTTTTTCACTCAAATCAGGGATCTCGTTAGGTCTACCTCAAAATAGACCACCCCAATTGAGTATAAATCATTATGAACACTTTTTTACTCAAACATTATGCGGTGAATTCATTAGGTCTGTCCCAACAAAATCACCATTATCATGAATTCATTAAGAGTTGTAGCTCAACTTCACAAGTACACACATTGTAGGAATGACCAATTGGTGTACTACTTTGTGATTATTTTCATGACTTCGTTTGACGACAAAAGTAGAATCCACCACGAATTGGTCACCTCTTGGGCTTTAAGCCATTCCATCAATAATTCAACGACTAACCTCATAATTAGTCATCCCTATTAAAGTAAGTTAATCATCTCGATCAAACTTACGAACACTTTGACGAGTACTTTATTTACTCACAAATAATTCCCTTTAAGATTTTCATGTTCAACATGAAATATTCTCTTTTACCATTATTGTCGGTACCACAGAGAGATTTTTAGAAAAGAAATATATAAAGAGTTAATTACCCCACAATGCAACATTTACAAATATTTTTCTCAAAAGTATTTGATCTCTTACTCAGATTGATCTTTGGTGCCCAATATTGGTTCCTTTGTAGACTGAGTTTTGCAGATTTGTTTTGTGAAACATTATAATAGCTTCACACTGTAACTAATACATACTCAGTAGTTGAATATATTTCAACAAACTTGATTATCTCAACCCATCATCATTACCCTTTAAACAGGAATTATAGGGCTTTCAAAATGACTCAACCAAGAATTTAAATAATATATAAATGCTCATTGTTAGTAAGCCACATAGATAATGTTGTTTGCATGCTACTTCAAATTGGACAACATAATCACAAATTTCACATAATATTCTTAAAAGAAATTAATCTCGTACACAAAGAATATATTCAAACTGACATTTATTAGGGAATATATTTCAATAAGGTGAATTCAACAAGTATAACTTTAACACTCAAAGTTATTTCACCTATACAACTTTTTCTTCACTTGAGGAAATTAAAAACTCATATAAAGCATTCATATGATGCATGAAACTAGCTTGCATGATCAACACCTTGCTTCTTAAAAACTCCCAGGTCGTATGGTGAAATTGAAATTTACTTACAAATCACATTCCTAGAGAAAGTATTCAAAAATGATGACTTTTTCATGCTATCATCAAATTGCAATTAAAGCCTTAATTTGAGCAATATCTATGCCAAATTGATTTCAATCAATGTCATTAACATTCAACATACTAAAGAAATAAGTACTACTAAGAAATCAAAATTTAGACAACTAAACTAGTATTAAGTAGTAAGAAAATCACATTTTATGCGAGCTCTTTAGAACTAGAGCAAATTAGAGTTACTCAAAATAATTACTTATTTAAAGAAATGCAATACCCATCTTGCTCTGTCAGATTGACTTCTACTAGTATTGCCCTTGCGATGGTAGTATTGGTATGCTCGGTGTCCTTGCTTTCTGCACACGAAACATCTTCTTTTGAGCTTCTTGATTTTTCCACTCATTTTGTTATAGTAATTTTTGACACTTTGATTTTCAGTATCATTGGCACCGTACTTTTTTGACAGCGATTCCCAAATGACTTTTGCCGAGTTTTATTTGACATAGATGTTAAACAATTCGTTATTCATTTGTGACAAAAGATATCCTCTGGCTGCCACATTGTCATCTTTAAACTGCATCAGAGTTACACCCGGTTCTTGACTAGGAATGTAGTATATTTCAGTCTGCTTTCTCTTGATTCTTCACCAGGATTGTAATCAGGTTCATGGCTAGCTTCTCTAGGACCAAGTAGACGGAACACTATTGGAGTAGGTTCCGGTGCAACTGAAAACAGTACATAAACCAATTTTAATTGTTTGAATAATAAGCAATTGTTGAGTCCACCTTTTGTAGTTTTTCCCATCAAGGGCTGTGATCTTGGATAGATCGGCTATGACAAAATGTGTCATAAGGGCTGAAAGGTTGACTGTTGCTTGTAATAACGCTTTTAACTATTGGAAAATATTCGCAACGTCAACGTGTGGGTTGGAAACCTTTTAAGAAACAAGGACAAAACAAGTGTATGACTGAAAGAAAGTCTATGCCGTGTTATAATAACACTGTGAGCGTTATTTGCCCGATGACGGTGCTGTTAAAATCCTGGCACGCTTCCGACAGGCTACATAGACTGACTACACTTAGTTTACACCAACTAAAGTGCAAGTGAACCTGACTTTGCTCAGACGATAATAGAAAGGGATTAAAGAAATGATGATACAAAGATGATTATTGAGTGTATGTTTATAAAATTAATTGACTTTTAAATAGTGATTTAGCACAACCCTACAGCCATGCAATTCACCATTTACTCTACTTCACTCATCTTCAAAACATGTGAGGCACAATTTAGTAGTATAAGAAAAACACAATCGCAACTAAATATGTAGACTTGGGAATTTGGAGACAACATGTTCTGTTAGAAAATTATGATGTCCAAATAATTAAGAACATATTGTTGTCTCTAAATTCTCAAGTCCACATATTTAGTTGTGGTTGTGCTTTTCTTACATTACTGAATCGTGGCTCACATGTGTTGAAGATGAGTGATGTAGAGTAAATGGTAGAATTGCATGGCTGTAGGAGTGTGTTAAATCACTATTTAAAGGCGAACTAATTTCATAAACATACACATAGTAATCATCTTCGTATTCTCCTTTCCTTAATCTCTTTGTGTCATCGTCTGAGCAAAGTCAGGTTCACGTGCGCTGTAGCTGGTGTGAGCTAAGCGTAGTCAGTCTGTGTAGTCTGTCGGAAGCGTGCCAGGATTTTAACTGCACAGTCATTGAGCAAATAACGCTTTTAAGGCAGTGTTAATATTATTATAACACGACATAGACTTTCTTTCAGTCATACACTCATTTTGTCCTTGTTTCTTAAAAGGTTTCCAGCCCACGCGTTGACGTTGCGAATATTTTCCAACAGTTAAAAGCGTTATTGCAAGCAACAGTTAAACTTTCAGCGTTTTGACACCTCTGTCATACCCGCTCTATCTAAGATCACCGCCCTTGATGGGAAAAACTACAAAAGGTGGGCTCAAAGAATTCTTATTCTTCGAACAACTAAAATTGGTTTATGTGTTGTTTTCTGTTGCACTGGAACCTACTATAGTAGTGTTCCCTCTACTTGGTCTTAGAGAAGCTTAGCCATGAACCTGATTACAATCCTGGTAAAGAATAGAGAGAAAGCAGCCCTTGAAATATTCTACATTCCTGGTCAAGAACCGGGTGTAACTCTGATGCAGTTTAAAGATGACAATGTGGTAGCCAGAGGATGCCTTATGTCATAAATGAATGACAAATTGTTTGACATCTATGTCAAAAAAGACTCGGCAAAAGTCATTTGAGAATCGCTGTCAGACTCTGATGCAGTTTAAAGATGACAATGTGGTAGCCAGAGGATGCCTTATGTCATAAATGAATGACAAATTGTTTGACATCTATTTCAAAAAAGACTCGACAAAAGTCATTTGGGAATCGCTGTCAGAAACATACGCGATGCCAATGATACTGAAAATCAAAGTGTCAGAAATAGTTATAACAAAAGGAGTAGAAAAGTCAAAGAGTTCAAAGGAAGATGTTTTGTGTGTGGAAAACAAGGACACCGAGCATACGAGTGCTACCATCGCAAGGGCAAAACTAGTTGAGGTCAATCTGACAGAGCAAGATGAGTATTGCATTTCTTTAAATAAATAGTTATTTTTAGTAACTCTAATTTGCTCTAGTTCTAAGGGCTCACTTGAAATGTGATTTTCTTAGTATTGAATACTAATTGAGTTGTCTAAATTTTGATTTCTTAGTAGTACTTATTTCTTTAGTATGTTGAATGCCTAATGACATTGATTGAAATGAATTTGACAGATATTTCTCAAATTTTGTACTGAAATTATTTGTATATAAAAATAAGAGCATATATCAAAGGGGCTTTAATTGCAATTTGATGATAACATGGAAAAGTCATCATTCTTGAATACTCTGTCTAGGAAGGTGGTTTTTAAATAAACTTCAGTTTCACCACTCGACCTGTGAGTTTTTAAGAAGTAGGGTATTGATCATGCATATAGTTAGAGTGCTGCTCAATTTTCACCTGAAATGAGGTTGATTTTCGTATGTTGTTATAAATCAAAGCCTTGCAATAAAAATTATTGAAATACTGCATTAGTAATGTTGATCTGCATTGTAAGTGCACAAAGTTAGTACACATTAAAACCTTATGTTGGCTAATTTATTTTTAATAATTAGAACTAAGTTAGGCTAAGCTCTGATACCAATTGAAATTGTGCCGTGAATCTTGAATGCAAGATGGTACTCATGTCCTACTTGATTTTATATAAGTAACAATCGTATCCATTAATTAAGTTGTTTATCAATAGTAAATAACGAAAAGTAAATGCAAAAAATAAATTAAGTACAAGATAATTGATTACGCAGTTCGGAACGCTTCTCCTACGTCTGCGGGGTAACTCACGTCTGCTCAATCCACTATAGATGTTCACCGATGAGTCTTACAAGATGTAAGTACATTATCAACCGCTACTATCACAACACCTTCCTAACATATACTCGGGACTGGTACGTGCATGCCGTGACGATCTTCAAGAGATGTTTCAGCTGACCCAGGTACAAACCGTATAGCTTAGTAGAAATCCCTCATAAAATAAAATAAAATAAAATAGTATAATAATCAGATTAAGAATGATGTAATATATAGAATTTCTTTTCTCTCAAATTGGCATGTCAGAATAAATGAGAAGCTTTTCTTTTATAGCAATATTTACTTCAACACCTTGATCCACGTTAATAGTTCACCATTTGAATTAAAGAACCTCAGCCACTCATAATTAAAAAAATCCTCTTATGATTAGCTCTAAGCAATTAAATATTATGCTGACTTCCTCTTCACATATAACCTCCTATTATGAACCATTCATTATATGTGAAGAGGAAGTCACCAGAATATTTAATTGCTTGGAGCTAATAATAAGGAGATTTTTTAATTATGGGTGGTTGTGGTTCTTTAATTCAAATGGTGAGCTTTTAACGAGGATCAATGTGTTGAAGTGAATATTGCTATAAAAGGAAGGCTTCTCATTACGGAAACTCATGAATTCTGACATGCCAATTTGAGAGAAAGAAAATTTTATATATTGCATCATTCTTAATTTGTTTATTATACTATTTTATGAGGGATTTCTACTGAGCTATACTGTCTGTACCTGGGTCAGCTGAAGCATCATTTGAAGATCGTCACGGCATGCACGTACCAGTCCTGAGTAGATGTTAGGAAGGTGTTGTGGTAGTAGCGGCTGATAGCCTTATGTACTTACCTCTTGTAAAACTCCTCGGTGAATATCTATAGTGGATTGGGCAGACGTGGGTTGCCCCCAAACGTAGGAGAAGTGCTCCGAACTACGTAATTAATTATCGTGTACTTGATTTATTTTTTGCATTTACTTTTCGTTATTTATTATTGATAAATGGCTTAATTAATGAATATGATTGTTACTTAATATAGAACAAGTAGAACATTAGTACCATCTTGCATTCAAGATTCATGACACAATTTCATGCATCATATGAATGCTTTAAATGAGTTTTTAATTTCCTCAAGTGAAAGAAAAGTTGTGCAAGTAGAATAACTTTGAGTGTTAAAGTTATACTTTTGAAATATATTCCCTAATAAATGTCAGTTTGTACATATTCTTTGCGTACGAGATTAATTTCCTTTAAGAATATTATGTGAAATTCGTGATTATGTTGTCCAACTTGAAGTAACATGCAAACAACATTATCTCTGTGACTTACTAACAATGAAATTTATATATTATTTAAATTCTTGGTTGAGTCATCTTATAATTCCTGTTTAAAGGGTAATGATGATGGCTTGAGATAACTAAGTTTGTTGAAATATATTCAACTCTTGAGTATGTATTAGTTAAAGTACAGAGTTACTGTAATGTTTCACAAAGCAAAACTCAGTATACAAGGGAGCTAATGTTGGGCACTAAAGATCAATCTGGGTAAAAGATCAAATACTTTTGAGAAAAGTATTTGTAAGTGTTGCATTGTAGGGGTAATTAACTCTTTATATATTTCTTTTTTAAAAGTCTATCTGTGATACCGACAATAATAGTAAAAGAGAATATTTCATGTTGAACATGAAAATCTTAAGGAAATTATTTATGAGTAAATAAAGTACTCGTCAAAGTGCACGTAAGTTTGATCGAGATGATCAACTTACTTTAATAGAGACGACTAATTATGAGGTTAGTCGTTAAAATATTGATGAAATAAATTAAAGTCCAAGAGGTGATGAATTCATGTTGTTGCCTCGGGCTCCAGATTAATGGTAGTAAAGCTGTTGCTTTTGACTTCTCTTTGGAGTGTAATGCAATAGTGTTTTTTAACATGTATCTAATTAACAATGCTTGAGATAACTATTAATCATTTTTTAAGATAAAATATCATTAAGAATTGTTGTTTTGTGCCTGCACTACAGGTAGCTCGGTTGGTTCTTGGGTGACAGATTATGAATAAAGACGTAGGTGAGATTCAACATTGACAGCTACAGTATGGAAGTCACACTAATGTGGTGGTCTCGGGCACCTGATAGTGGTCCTCCTTCCACGTAATGGGTTACTAAATCTTTGTGATTTATCACTTCCACAAATCCTGACCGAGTCGAAAAAAAAATTAATGAAAGATGAATGGAGAAAATTGAGTTTAATGAATAAGTTTTTCATTTTTTTTCTCGCTACAGACAACTAGCATTGAGTAATGAGCTAGTATATAGGTCGAATTCAAAAAAGTATATCTGAGGCTCTAATTAAAATATTTTACCTCTTTAATTTTACTTATATTATATATTATATATTATTAAAAAGTACATGTGTTATTTTTATGTGTATATAGTATTTCTTTTTATATACACTTACAATATTATTTTTATATACTTAGGTCCACCGTGAATATAATTTGCAATTCAATCTCATCCATTTATATTCACGGTGGACCTAACTTATTACCAAACTAATTATTAATCGCTCACGTTTTTCTTCATCATTATTATTATACTCGAATCTAAGCAAGTAACAAATTAAACCAAAGGCAGGCATGATTCTTACGCTGCAGAGTTTGTATTTGATGTTTTTGGGGATAAGAATCATGCCTGCCTGCCTTTGGTTTAATTAACGGCATTAAAACTGTTTTGATTTCATTGATGGCCGAAGATGTACATTGTTGGAGTTGAGGAAAATAGTAAAAACTTGTAGATGTGATGATAAGAAGATCATTTCTGGTATAGAAGCATTGGATCAAACTCAAATAATATTGATGGTGAAAGTAACTTATTGGCTTATAAGGAAGGGGATGAGGAGAAGCTTAATTTCAAGTACAAAGTAGGCATGAGTTTTAATAGCAACAAGCAATTAATTATGTACTTGGACATATAAAATACAAAACTTATGAATTTCGCAATCTTGAAGTTGAAATCACCTTCAACTTCTCAGCCTGGATATGGAAGAAACTTCATGATGAAGAATACACAAGCCACCAGCTAAAGAACCTGTTAAGAAGCCAAGTCTCTAAGGGCTATTTTGTCTTTTCCTTAGCTAATTAGTTATAACCGTTCTTTGAACCTATATGTACTGATCTTTTCCCTCTCAATACACTGTTCGATTCTTCCTTCTTCTTTCTGCCTCATCTCCAACTTTCTGTCCAAGCCTTATGTTTTAGCTCAGTCCAACATGGTATCAGAGCTCCACCGGAGCTACGCGGCGGTAGTCGTGATGGATAATTCCAGTAGCGGAAACCAGGCTCATCACATAGCAGCTTCGTCAAGCCAGAATCTGATGAACCAGCGAAGTGATGATGTTGACGATCCTCTATACCTGCATATTAGCGAGAATCCTAATTTGATTCTCGTTTCCCCTCCTCTTTCAGAGATCAATTATACCTCATGGAGCAGATCCATGAGGATTGCTCTTGAAGTCAAAAACAAATTTAGTTTTGTTGATGGATCTGTGGCCTGTCCAGAGGAATCCGATCCTAAAATTGCAGCATGGAGAAGGAGCAATCGCCTTGTTTGCTCGTGGATTCTGAAATCCCTCAACCCTACCATCGCGGAGAGCATCATGTACTTTGATAGAGCTTCTGATATTTGGAAAGCACTCAACAAGAGGTATTCACAATCCGATCCTCATAGAATCTCAGAAATCCAGAATGAAATTTTCAGAAATACTCAAGGAAACATGTCGGTTAATGAGTATTTCACCAAGTGTAATGCATTGTAGCAACAGATGAATGCATTGAGACCTCTGTTGATGTGTGAGTGTACTCCCAGATGTTCCTGTACTCTTATGGCTAGAATGCAGAAGGAAAGGGATAATGATCAGGTGATAAGATTTCTTGAGGGATTGAATGATGAATATGAAACAATAAAGTCAGATGTTCTGGTTATGGATCCCATGCCAGAGATGGAAAAGGTCTTGAACATGACTCTTAAGGTGGAAAGAAAGATTAAAGGCTCAGTTAGTCAAAGGAACATTGATATCATCCAGTCAAATGCTATTCAAAACAATCAAGCACAATCTGAAGAGGAACTCAATGTTGTGGCAATGTCTTCATCCAATACTAGAAAGAAGTTCAACAATAATGGAGGAAAAAATGTTCCTAAATGTACCTCTGTGGTATGACTGGCCATACCATTGAGAAATGCTACAAGAAGCATGGATACCCACCCGGTTGGGTAGCAGGGTATAAGTCTAAGAACAAACAAACTCAAGAGATGCAACAAGCGACCAACAGTTGCCTTAACCAGGTTGGAGATGTAGGTCTTTCTACTGACCAGTTTCAAAGACTGTTGTCTTTCTTGCAGAGTCAAAACAAGGGAAGCCAAGGATCAGTAGGTGCTGCTACTGTAACAGTTGCTACTCCTGAGATGAAATCAGACTTCAAGAACTCTATAAATAACCTCAATGAAGGCAGGTTTATCTCTAACTCTTATATGGTTAGTGCTGTGTTAAATTCACCTGCATTATGGATACTAGACTCAGGGGCAACTGACCACATTACATGCTCCCTTGAGTACTTTGATAAATGCTGTAGAGTTCAGGGAATTTCTGTGAATCTACCTAATGGGGAAATAGTGAGTGTCACACACATAGGACAAGTCAAACTGGATGAAAAGATAATACTACAGAATGTGTTATATATACCATCCTTTACTTTCAACATTGTATCTGTCAGCAAACTGTCTAAACAATCAGGCTTTAAACTTGTGATGGGGGCTGATTCTTGTGCCATTCAGGGCCTTCTTGGAGTGATGGATGGTTTTGCTAAAGAGAGAGATGGGTTGTATGTGATCAATAATCCTCCTGTCAAGAAAAGAGACCAGCTCACTAATGAAACTCATAGTATGCAGTGTAATAGTTTAGCAATCAAATTGTGGCATGACATGCTTGGCCACTATCATGTTAATAAAATGTTTCTTTTACATGGAATAAAGTCTGATTCTATGAATAAACATCCTACTTTTGTGTGTGATATTTGCCACTTTGCTAAACACAAGAAGTCCACTTTCCCTGTTAGTAGCAAACTAGCAATAGAGCTGAGAGATGTTTCGACTTAAATACATATGGACACATGGGGACCATTTGCTATGCCATCTCTTAAAGGGGAACACTACTTTCTAACTATTGTGGATGATCATAGTAGGTTCACCTGGCTACACTTGATGAAGGCTAAGTTAGAGGTCAAAACAGTTTTTCAGAACTTCTATAATTATGTCTCTACTCAGTTTTCAGCCAAAATTAAAATTGTTAGGACTGATAATGGAAGTGAGTTTATGACGAATGCTTTTTATAATGATAAGGGAATTGTTCATCAAAGGTCATGTGTGTACACACCCCAACAGAATGGGATAGCAGAAAGAAAACATCAACACATTTTGAATGTAACAAGGGCATTGAGATTTCAATCTGGCTTGCCTACACAATTCTGGGGTCATTGTGTGTTGCATGCTTCATATCTTATAAACAGATTGCCCACTGATGTAAATGATGGCAGCACTCCTTTAAAAATCCTAACTGGAAAGGACATGGAGTATGATAAGCTAAAGTCTTTTGGCTGTTTATGTTTTGGTGCTACTATTACACAAGGAAGAAACAAGATGTTACCAAGAGCAAGAAAATGCATTTTTTCTGGGATTTCCAGCTAATGTAAAAGGTTTTATTCTATATGACCTGACTGACAATGATGTTTTCATTTCTAGAGATGTTAGATTCTATGAACAAACATATCCTTTCAGAAAATCAGACTCAGAAGGTGGTCAAGGACATGGCACACCTGAAATGTTTAATCCTTCCTTACCTTTGGTTCCCATTTCTGTTGATGATGGTTTCTCTCCTCCAGATTGCATGCAGAGACCTGCAATTGCTGATACTAATATAGATGATATTGGGGAAATCAGACATGGAAGTGATCTGGAAAATGAAGGGGTTAATGATGAAACCATATATCACAGCTATCAACAATCAGACCAACTGAGTGATGTGGTTATTCATAATGAAGCTAATGAGGATGATGTGATTGTTGATCAACCTAGGAGGTCAGCAAGGATGAGGCACATTCCCTCCAAATTGAAGGATTATTACTGCCAGACTATGATTTCAGACAGCTCAAACAAAAAGACTTCCCCCCATTCCATAGATAATTTCATCTCCCTGGATAACTTGAGTCCTGACCACAAGGTCTGTGCTTCTGCCATCTCTTGTGCTCATGAGCCAAGTTCATACAATGAAGCAGTAAAGCATGAGGTATGGAGAAAAGCAATGGAATCTGAAATCAGTGCCCTGATACAAAATAACACATGGACCTTAGCAGACTTACCAGCTGGAAAATCTCCAATTGGTTGCAGATGGGTGTTTAAGATTAAACACAAAGCAGATGGATCCATTGAAAGGCATAAAGCTAGACTAGTTGCCAAGGGATATACTCAGCAACTAGGAGTGGATTACATAGAAACTTTCTCTCCTGTGGCCAGGATGACCACTATCAAAACCTTCTTGACCATAGCTGTTGCTAAGGGATGGGATATCCAGCAGATTGACATCAACAATGCTTTTTTGCATGGTGACCTGGAAGAAGAAGTGTATTTGGTATTGCCCCCAGGCTTTAAGAGTAACAAGCCCAATCAAGTATGCAGGCTGCTGAGATCTTTGTATGGTTTGAAACAGGCTAGCAGGCAGTGGAATGCTAAACTCACAAAAGCTATCCAAGATAATGGTTTTATCCAATCTACAGCAGATCCACCACTCTTTACTAAAAGATCAGAAACATCCTTTATTGCCTTACTTGTGTATGTAGATGACATGCTTGTGGCAGGAACAAGTGATAATCAGATCAAGGAATTGAAGCAAATGTTGGATAATTCCTTCAAGATCAAAGACTTGGGCAAGCTAAATTACTTTCTGGGAATTGAAGCTTACAGAACTCCTAATGGCATCAACCTATGCCAAAGAAAATACACACTAGAGATCCTAAGGGAAAACAACTTCTTGGATGCTAAGCCTGCTAAGACTCCCTTCACAACAGGCCTAAGACTCAACAACACAGATGGTAAGCTGCTAATAAATCCTGAAGAATTCAGAAGATAAGTTGGTAAGCTTCTATATCTCACCAACACTAGGCCTGATATATCTTATGCCACCCAACAGCTAAGTCAATTTGTGGACAAGCACATAGTTACACATCTAATTGCAGCTCATAGGGTATTAAGATACCTCAAAGGCTCTCCTGGAAAATGGTTGTTTTATCCATCTAATTCTCCTACTAAGCTGCTAGCTTTCTTTGATTCAGATTGGGCTACATGCACAAAAACCAGGAAATCTGTTACTGGTTATTGTGTATACCTTGGGAAGTCTCTCATCTCTTGAAAAACTAAGAAGCAAGCTACCATATCAAGGTCTTTAGCTGAAGCAGAATACAGGGCACTTGCCTCTACAGTTTATGAGATTCAATGGTTATCTTATCTCTTGGCAGATTTGTTAGTTAAGATTGACAATCCTATTCCTCTATTTTGTGATAGTAAGTCTGCTATTGCTATAGGGGAGAACCACGTCTTCCATGAGCGTACAAAGCATATAGAAATAGATTGTCATGTGGTAAAACAAAAAGTTCATGAAGGCACAGTCAAGCTCATGGCTATACCATCACACAAGCAGATTGCAGATGGTTTTACCAAACCCTTACCAAAGCCCTTGTTTGATGTTTTCCACTCTAAGCTAGACCTTCAAGACGTTCATGCTCCAGCTTACGGGGGGGGGGGGGGGGGTGGGTGATGAAGAATACACAAGCCACCAGCTAAGGAACCTGCTAAGAAGCCAAAGTCTTATTCATATTTCTGTTATATCTGTTAAAGCCTCTAAGGGATATTTTGTCTTTTCCTTAGCTAATTAGTTATAACCGTTCTTTGAACCTATATGTACTGATCTTTTCCCTCTCAATACACTGTTCGATTTTTCCTTCTTCTTTCTGTCTCATCTCCAACTTTCTGTCCAAGCCTTATGTTTTAGCTCGATCCAACACTTCAAATTTGCAACTTGGAAGTAGAAATTAATGTTGCACAATGAATGTTAATATAAGGAAGAGAAAAACATGTGAAATTCTTATATTACCCTTCTATTAATAGAGGGTTTTTGGTTTTTTCATCAAGTTGAGATGGAAATCTAAAGTCAGAAATCAAGCTTGTTGCATTGCACATAATTGAGGGGAATTTAATTTGGTGGTAGCCATTGGTTAAATGCTTAATGGTGAAATTACTCCAAAGTTTGATGATTTGCATATATATATATATATATATATATATATATATATATATATATATATATATATATATATATAGAGAGAGAGAGAGAGAGAGAGTAGTGGATAATCCTTGCGAGATGAGATTCAGATTTGAGTGACTACCCCATGGCAAAAACTTGGTTCTCGTTTATTAATGTAAACTGTTCTCTATTTTATATTTTTTAATTTTTTAGTTTTTATTCTCTATTTTTTGTTTAGAAAATTTGTTTACTAACACTCATTTTTTCAAATTTATATTTTAAGATTAATTTTATAAAATTAACAAAAGTTTAATTTTAAGTGATTTTTATACCTTATATTTAAAATATTATTAGATATGTTTGGTTTAAATGGTATAAATATAATTTTAACTAATTTTAATAAAAATATTTTTAAATCTATTATTATTAAATTTAATTTTAAACATTAAACGACGTTGTCTTTCCTGATACTCAACAAGCAAGCTTTGGGGTTGTTATTCAAGACAGCACGAGTAACTATGTGGCAGCGAAGAATGGTCCTCTACGATGTCTCAATGATGTACATTTAGCAGAGGTTGTCGCTATTAAGGAAGTATTGTCGTGGGTTACGGCTCGTGGCTATCATAAAGTGTCCATCTATACCGACTGTCAGGTGGTATGTAATTTGCTCAACCATTCTTCTACGAATTTCTCATTTGCGGGTTGTGTTATTAACGATTGCTGCAATCTCAAACGACACTTTGATTCAGCGTCTATTTTCTTTGTTCCAAGATCAGTGACCAAGCTTGCTCATGTTCTGGCTAGGCAGCTCGTTCTAGTACTGATTTTACTATTTAGTTGGATAGTGTTCATTCTTGTATTGCTTCTGT